TTTTTTAATTTTAAATACCATGCACCTCCTCTTGCCAAACCTCTGGCGAGAGCAGAACTTTATTTGTGAAGGTATGATTTTCCACACAAATGACTTAATCACAAATCACTATGGTTGAAAAATAGCTCTAATTGCTAAATTTGTGTAACTTCCTGAAAAAGCTGAATACAGGATATTAGGGTGTCCTGACAAAGTCGATATAAAACACAGGACAAAATCCCATAGAGCACATGTCTTGTGTGTTCGGGATGGCTGGCAACCCAAGATGAAGTCCATGCCTGAGGCAGAGTCTTCTAGCACTGAACTTCCCCAGCAGTGTCCAAGGAGTACCCTAGAATTCTGTGGGTATCAAGGCCCACTGTCCCCAGGGGGAAGAAAAGGCTAAGTAGACAGGACTCTGAGCTTGCAATCTCCAGTTTACCCAGACTACTCAGCCTCCCTTATGTTCATAGGTTAGATTTCAGGGGAAGGCTTCAGCTGGGATATGCAGTCTCATGTATAAAATTTTGACAATCACTGTCCTCCAGTTAGATAAAGGATGTGTCATGAAGTTCCAGCTTCCAGAGCCCTGAGCCCAAGATTGCCTCTAGCCCCTTTCTCTGTATGTCATGAGGAACTTGAGTTACTGCAGAGTTGCCAACTGCCTAGTACAGACACATTAGTGATAGCAGATAAGTGTTTGTGTATTGTGAGTGTAACCTCAGCCTTGAACAAAGGCTATCAAGAATGGAAGCCTAAAAGAGACCCAAGATCACAGATTCAAGATTTTAAAAAATCACATATACACAAATACACAGGCATAGGCAATACTAGGCAAAAAGCACAAGTATATGCTTAAAAGAGAGAGCTTAAGGAAACACAGGAAAACTTCCTCTGATTGGTAGATTTCTGGGTGAGTACTTATCCCTTTTAACCTCTTCCCTGGATTTATTAAGCTTAGTGTCATTTTGGTTTTCAAAAATGTTCGCAGGGGAGAAGACAGAATATAGGCCACAGTATGCAAAATGCTTGATTTTTACCTCTACCTATGACCTCAAATGACAACTCCTGATGCAACCAAACCTAATCTGCAGCTTGGATGCTTCTCCTGATATCTAGCCCTTTGTTTTCTACTGCCCACTGGACGCTTCCACCAGGACAGCCAGGAGAACTTTACCATCTACATGACCCACAGTGACATCCACCACACCCTTTTTCATCTCTACCTCTACAACTCATCCTCCCTTTTATCCTCAGTCTCAGATAAGAGGAGTAGCTTGTACCTAGTCAGACAACTTTCAAGACTCAGTCACTGTAGACTATCTCCTACCCTTTCACATAGTCCCTAACTTCCTAAACCTCTAATCCGTCTCCTGATCATCCTCACATCCATAACTTGAATCAAGTGCTTTGTCATTTTTTCGTTTTGTTTACTGAATGATTTCCCTCAATATATGTTCAATAAGAGCTTGCTGGATGAATGAATGAATGAATCAATCAATCAATCAATCAATCAAAGTGCCAGAGGTAATGTTCACTGATTCAAAATAGGCCCTGATAGGGTCTTCTGCCTCCATGAATTCCCAAGGGAAAACACCACTGAAAATGTGGTCATCAATGTCTCCTTCCCAGACCCTAACACCCTCATCTTGGAGGTAGGTATGCTGGCAACAGTATGGCACATCATTCTTCCCTCATGGGGTCCCACACATCTCTGTCATCCCCTGTCAGTTTAACAAAGAAGTGTGTCATCTCTATCAGCTCACCATATACTCTACTAATGTCTGCTCCTTGGCCCAGTCCCCTGTCCCAGGCAGAATCTGGTGACAACATAGGCCAGCACACAACCCCAGGGCACCCATCTGATGTAGAAAAAACTTGGGATGTGTGAGAAGGCAGTCTGAGTTAGGGACACCATCTGGATTGTTTTTGAAGACTGGTCCACACCTAGCCTTTTACCTGCAGTCATGAGCTAATTAGCTTCTAAGGCATTCTCCCTCCAATTTCCTCTTCTTTGTGACTACATAGCCCCTTCCACTGTTCATGGTACTCCTGGCCTGTCTCGGCTGTTTATCATCATTCATAACCTCATTCACATAGCCATAACTTAAGTAAAGGAGACATCTCCAGGAGGATTAAGATAGCTCCCAGCCCAGGTACATTGCCAAGAGTACACTGAACTCCAAGGGTCATCACGAGATCTTGCTCTACCAGGATCCATCAAGAGCATCACTAGATAATACAGAGGAACAAGTTATATCCTGCCTGACAATATGTTGAGAAGATCTTAAGGTAGGGTGGAATGTTTTACATATTTTGGGTTCTTTCATCTATCCAGTAGACTGGCCCACTTAGATGACTCGGCGATTTTCTTTCAGCCTGTAGAGATCAGAAAATTTCCAAGCCTACTCATGAAAGAGTTCCTGGTTGCTTGACCCTGATCCACCATCTTCTCTCCTTATAGTCAGTTTTTTACATGACATTGAATTCTAGATTCAGATCTCTGCCTGACAGCCTGTCCTAAGTTCCCTGGACTTGGTTTTGCTGGTGGTTTTTCTCACAGACTCTAGAAATTGCTCTTCCCCACCACCCTCCTCATGCCCCTCACTAGCTGACATTGTCTGGCCCCAATATATGGCATCTGGTTATTCTAACTCTTTGCTTCTCAATGTAAAAGGAAAATGTCTTGTTGACATCAGCTTTAAAGCATGTTCAAAGGAATCCTGTGACTCAGAACATCTCTTAGAAACCAAGCTTTATATGGGCAGGAGAGTAAGTTAATTTTCTGCACAGCCTAGTTAGAAAACAAGAAAATACAAATTAATATAATTGTGAGACATTTTTAAATATATGTTTGACCAAAAATTAAAGGATTAGAAAACAAAATGTGAAGAGTGTAGGGTATTTACATACATTAATTTGTGAAAATATGAATTGGTAGATTGGTAGGATGGTACTTTGGCAATATTTATAAAAATTGATAATTTTCATACCCTCTTTACTTTATCCCAATTTCTGTTTGCTGTCTTTCCTATGCACATTTTCCCAAGAACTGATGTCCAAAGATGTCGATCCGATTCTATTAACCATAGAAACTAATGGGAACTACTTATATATGCATCAGGAGGAGAATAGTTAAATTAATATGAAACATTTATATTTTAGAATCCTAGAGAGTAGTTAAAATAATGAGGTAGATTTATATGTGTTGTCATGGAGTGATGCCGCATTCATTTTATTAAGTGACAAGGTAAATGGGAGAATAATATGTGCATTGCTACCCATGATATTTTTAAAAATCACAATATATTTTATAGCACATCTATGTATTAAAAGCATGAAATTATTTTTAAAATAATATATACCATATTTTTACTGCAGTTACCTCTAAGAATAAAGCTTAATTTTGGAAAACACTGTAATGAGAAGAGATAGGTTTATGTATGTTAGAAATATTTGCAACAGGAATATATGCACTATTATTAGCTTTGTCATTAAAATTTTAAATTAAGTTTAGCAACATAAATAGTACCTGTTTATTAGTTAGAGAAAATAACTGCTAGCTGATGCAAAATATAAAACCTAAAATCTGAGTGGCTTGACACAACAAAGGTTTATTTCTTATGCATGTAAAATTTGATGTGATTTGGCAGGGGATTTTGCTACCAGGTGACTCAGAGATCCAGGCTGTTTCTTTATTGGAAGATATATTGTTTAATATATGGCTTTGGGGGAGGGAGTATTTCCCAGCAGGGTGCAACTCAAAGCTCTTAGAATTTGTGTCAAGAACCGATTCCTTCCTTCCCTCCCTTCCAGTTGTCCTTCCAACAATACATCCCTCTTTTCATTCATTCACTCCTTCCTAAAATCTAGGCCTTGCCTAGTTTGCCAAATTATATTGAACACAACCTATTTAAAATGTCCCTTGAATGATGCGGGATCTCCCAGCCCAGGGCAAAGAGTGTCAGCTTCTAGGTATCTTATCTCAAGAAGGCATCACCCTTATTTATCACAAACTCCTTGAAGACGATGTTCATAAAACACTAAATTTGTGCACTGCGTTCAACGGCACTTGGACAAGAATACAGGATATCTTCCATTCCTCTTCCAGATGGGATCTGGTTTACCCATGATCCCAAGGCAAATGCTAAGAAAAATTTCCCATTCCAAGTCCCTACTCACCACTCCCACAGCCTTATCGAGTGTACCATACAGTTCAACTTAAAATTACTTCCCACAGAAGGACTTGCAGTTGCCCACGGCTTCAGTCTGCCTTGTCTCAGGACCTTTACACTTGACTGCTTTCATATGGACCCCTCCACCCACCTCCTGACTTCTTTTGATTTTTTCTTTTGGTGTTAAAGGATTCCCACCAATGTCTTTACATGATCCCTGCTCCTAGTCTCTCCAGTTCTATGGGTGGATTGTGAGTCTTGTTTATCCCAGCATCCCCAGTACTAACACAGTGCTTTCCAAAGAACAGATGCTGAATTAATGTTCAGTGAATAAATGAGCCAGTGTATATAGGGTCTAATTTATTAAGATTTATTTCTTATACATTCTTAAATAAGCTAAGAAAATTCATGTATATGTCATTTAATTTTACAGAACAGCAAGTTAAAAGGAATAAGAGAAGCCAAGAACTGTTTTTTTCTTGAACCCAACTATTTTACTGCTGAGTTCTCTGACAGTTCCAGGGTAATGCCTATCCAAATGTCATGTTATCTTTTCCAGAACACAAAATAAGACAGTCAGTTTCACAATTTCATTCGCAAACAAAACTTGTATTCTTAAATTTCATAAATAGCAATAAATATATGACCAATATCATTCATAAACTTAGATTCTGAAGGTAATGAAATATTTTACTAAAAGGAACATTTGAAAACTAACTCCCCTCAAAAGATGATAAGTCTCCCTTTTAACCATATAGAAGAGTGACACAAAGATGCAACATACTGCGTTCCCTACAGTGGCACCCCAGTGCTCCACTACCTCTTGTGAAGAATCTGCCTCAGGCTTTATTCGGGATGGCAGGAGCTACTGGAGGTGGCACTGGGACTTGCCATGGCCATGGCAATAGTGCCCTCCCCGGTTGCAGCTCCAGCTTGGGCTCTCTCTGCTTCATCTCTCAGAGCCTCCTCATACTGGGATGGGAAGCAAGTGGGGTCAGACCCATTGACCTTGGTCAAAAACTCCAGCAATTTCATCTTGCTGACTTCAGCATGGGCTCTTGGACCCCACAGGAACTCATAGTGTGGAGGATCGCTGTCGAGCACCTGGCGGTACTCCAGGTATTTTTCCTGCACCAAATCTTGGGTGATGAGTTTCCTGGGCTCCCCAAACGTGAAGTGAATCATCCCAGGATGTAAGTTCATCGTACTTAGCACTTCCCAGATATCCTCCTCAGTGGCGCTATTGCCCTTCATGAAGATCGAACCCAGGACCATTATCAGGAGGCTGGTCTTGGGCACGCCCTCATTGCTACTCAGCCTTGGATCATAGGTGATCCCTAATTTGTTAACAAGGGCATAGCTGTGGCTGGTCGGGTCTACTTCCTCCACATCAACACCGAAGACCAGCTCCATGTACTCAGAGACTCTCCTGAAGATCTCAGGGAAGTCATCCCTATACTCTTTGATAACAACATCAATCATGTCTGCCTTTGTGATAGGCTCAAACATTTGATACTTGTGCAGCAGGAACTGCGCCAACAAAGTCACCTTCTCATCTAAAGGGTCTTCGGGCAAGCTCTCGGTTTCCGACAGGGACTTTGAAGAATCTGAACTATCCTCCTTTTCTTGGCTGCCAGCGGTCTCATCTGATTTACTTGATGAGAGGAAACTGATGCCAGTGGAAGTTGAACAAGCACTCTGAGGACTCTGTGGGATATCAGGTATGCCAGCATCCAGAACCTCCTCCAGGTCATCAGGCATTAGAGGAGAGGGAGAGGAGGATGCGGCCTCGAAAGCCTCGGAGAACTGTGCAGCCTCCAGGCCCTGGGTGTCGCTATGGGCCTGTTCTTGTTCCGGTGTATCATGTGGAATCTCCTGACGCTCAGACATGCTCACTCTAATCAGTAATAGCAGGCGGGAATTTGGCAGGAGGGAAGAAGAAAGCGGTCCACGACCTAGGGAGAAAGTGGGGATGTGAGTGGCCTCATCTGGTAAATTCAACTCAGTCTGACAGGTTCCTAGAGCGCCGCAGTCTGACAGTTACTCTGCGAGCTTCCTGGGATGACAAAAGTGACGGAACTTTATTCAGGGCAGCCCCCTCTATTCTGAGTTTATTGGTCCCCTCATTCACCGTCTTACCTTGGCACTTGACCAGTTCTAGAACTCTTTTCTGTTGATTGAGGCCGCGCCTTTCAGTACAAGCTTTCGCCAACGATACTCGAGACCGGAAGTTAGAGGATGTCCCTTCCGATCTTACCCCCACTCGCAACTCCTTATGGTGACCGGGTCCTCCCACCGTGAGAGCAGGAGTAAGGTTCTGTGGGCTCCTTATATTCTGGGATATTTAACCTCATTCAATGTCCTCACCCAGAGTCCCTTCAGGGCCAGGGATTCCTCCTTTCACAGAAACGGACCTTGTGCCTCGTACACCAAGACCCTCATCACCACCGTCAGACTCCCAAGACACGATCGTCAGAGGAAGCCTGTATCTGAGAGTTACTCTGGAGCTTCTTACCGCCAACAAATTGGCGGGAATTCTTGGAGCTTCCACCATTCTGCAGTTCGTGGTGCTCTCAACTGCAACCCAGTGTCTTAACCGGGGCACTTCCTACTGCTAACATGAGGCTGTACCTCCTCAACTCAAGGCCCTCACCACTTTTAGACTCTTGAGGCCCAAGTCAGGGCTGCCACTTTGTAACCACCTCTGGCGGGAGTCTCCCAGGATTGAAAGCAAGGGTGGGGCTCTGTGGGGTCCCTCTCTTCTAGGGTAACTGGTTCCCACAGCTCTCACTTAGGATCTATACTTTGGCTGCAATCCTTTTGGTTAATTACTTTCTAGGCAGTGCCACCTCTCTGGCAAGCTGTCTGCATTTACCACACTGTGACTCTCATAGGGATTGAGTCCAAGTTCCAAATTAGATGCTAACTAGTGAAACTGCCGCACAGTGCATAAACACACACACAACCAGCCCTTCACGTGGGGTCCTTTCTCCCCCCAGTTGAGAATGTGTTCTTAAAGTCTTTCTACACGTCAGAGTCTATACAGACACATTGTTACGAGAGTCCTGCCACTCCCTTTGGAAACGCTGCATCACTTATAATCATGAAGTGTAAGAGTTCTAAAAGCCAGCATGGGCCCACTAGGTTAGCGTTTGCCTCTTGTCTTCTGATCATTGGATAAATAATTGAAATAATAAAGCAAGACAGAACTGCAATTTTATGGATGAGGAACCTGGAGCACAGGGAGGTGTTAAAGTGTTTTGCAAGTGATTTGTTACTGATCAGAGTTAAAATATTAAAGTTGTGTTCAATGACTATGTTCTCACTGAAAACATTTCAAACAATAGATTCAAAACAGAATTTTATCTTGCCTTTTTACTCCTCTCTGTCACCTGCACCACCATATAACCTTATTATGAGTTAGTTATATACATATAATTGTGCATTTTATTTACATAAATTAAGTTTATGTAAATTACATAAATGTAATAACCAAATACATATTATTTTGTTATTTACTTTTCTCTTCGATCAATAATCTGTCTTGAGGAGTGTTTCATATCAATCTTCAGAGTGGCCTGAAAGTTTGAAAAACATTTTATAATTATTTGCAAATTGAAGAAGTCCTTGATGTCATGCTATATATTGTCTATATTCCCAGACTTTATAAGAAGTCTATACATAGATCTGCCATTTTTTCTTTTACCTAAAAAGTAAAATAGATGGCTACTTCTATAATTAAAACTCGCATATTTGTCTTCAAATATGTTCATGAATGAAAAGTATGTTGAGATATATAATTCAGGTGTTAGGTACCCTTCATGAGAATTAGTAGGCCATTCTTTCCCTGGGTAATGAGAAATGTGAGGAACAAGCAAATTAAAAGATTGAGCACTGCTATAACTTTTTTCTTCTATACACTTACCTCCCCATTTCCATTTCTTGATCTGCAAGGTCAGTTCACAAAGCTTTATTGATCACAGTGATGAAATATTCAACCTTGTATTGTGAAGCATATGCAAAATATGATGACCCAATTCTGATGTCCAATGGCCCAAAAGCTCCAACACAAGGTCCGATGAGGGATTTTGTGCTTTTTGAGAGCTTATGATTTTATTTCCATGATGTCTTTGGGTAAAATGATTTCATCACCCAATACATTTTGTTATGGAATAATTTTAAAGCCCTTCAGATTTATTTCGTTTATTTGTATTCCTTTTCTGAAACTGGGGTATGAGAGTGAGACAGAATCCACCTTTTATGCCTTTATTTCATTCCTTTAGCCACTCTCATACACTATATCATTAGCATAAAATAGATTTAATTCCATTGCTTCTTACACATTTTGGGGTTTGAAGAAAGAGATTATTTATGGACTACATCTAGAATTTCAATGCTTCCTTTTTCATCTTTTCCAGTATTTGAGTCTATTCTATGTCTCCTTTTAAAGCAAAAGTATTTTAAAATGGGTAAATTCTAAATTATACTGTTTAACATTATGTTTTAATAGTATAGTAAAACTTAAAATAGACAATTTCCATGCTATACATTAAGTCAAAAAACTGAAATAGAAATATTTTTAATGTAATAACTGGATATCTAATCACAGTAATATTAATGTGTTTGTGGTTCTATTAAGACTTGACAATTGTTACTAGAAATTCACTGTATTGAGAAAAGTAAATTAAAGCATTAATTTATTTTTTCTTCATTACTGACATGAAGATAAAATGTCAAAATGTCAATTTTGTGTCATAAATTAGCCTGGTATATGTATATTTAATATGTACATACTACCTAAATAAATAACACTCATCTTTCAAATGAAAATACTGATATCCAAATAAATGCAATGACTTGGCCAAGTTCACTAAATAAATTATATATACATTTGACTGATTAAATAATCAACTCAAATGATTAACTTTATTTCTATAATCATAATGTAATCTAAAGATTTAATTAAAAACACATTCTCTGATCCTGTGGTTAAAATGTAGATGAAGTCACAGTGATATATCTATATAGATCTATATATCTATATATAGATATATATATACACACCTATAGATAGATAGATAGCTATAGACATGTATATATCTGTTTTATACTCATATATTATATATACTATAAAATAGATATCTCAACTCAGGGTTCACCAAGAAGCAAACCCTGAATGAAAATTTGTGTGGTAGTGATTCATTAAAGAACTATGCCCAGAGTAAAACCAATACGAAAGTGAAAGCAGCATGGTATAAAAGAAGCAGCAGCCAATCAAGGATACAATTTCAGGTGAGGTATTAGCCTGATCGGATGAGGAGCTCTGGACCATAAGTTAAACCTCAGAGTTCACCTTACCTCGTGGCAAAGGAACTGGGCTTTTAAACTCCCGTCCCAGTCAGTCATTGGGATTGTGGGGTGGTGGGGGAGCAAAGCATGAGGCCTCCAAGGTACTTCTGATTCTCTGCTTAGGCCAGGAGATTCCAATGTCCAACAGCAATCCTTTAAATGTCAGTCAAAAGTACAAGCATTTCACACCATGACATGCGGAAGTGAAGAGATGAGCACAGAGAATTAGGAAAAGGGATGTGAGAGGATCATGACTCAACACAGCAGTGCCTGCAACTTGGTATTGTGGGAAAAACATTGGACTTTAGGGACGGAGAATTACATGTTCAAGTTTTGGCCTTGCTCATCAAACATAACCTTGGACAAGTTACGTGGGAAATCTTACACAGATGTGTGTGAATAAATTCTTTTTACTTTCGTTCTCAAACTTTAGCAAAATGCCCCAAACACTGTTGGCATTCGGGAAAAAAAGTGTTAAATAAATGAAATCAGTAAACCTATTTTTATGTAGCCCTAGTAAGATTCACCTTGTTGGGTTTTATCGTTATTGTTGCTTGTTACTTTTATATTTTTATTTTTCTTCCCCTTCATTGCCCACCACTTTACTTCCATAGTTTTAATTTATATCTTATTGGAACACTGACTATCTCTACCCCAGGATTGACTGGGATTGTTTTTTACATCATAAATTTGCCATACACACACACACACACACACACACACACACACACACACACATATGTAACAAATTTTCAAATCACAAATTTGTTATATATAAGATTATATATAATCATATTTATTTATTTATTTATTTTGAGGGAATTTAACAGCAAGTCTGCCAACCAGATCCTAGGAAGCAGATTTGAACTCTGGACTTGGGATTAAGTTCCCCATAAGTGAATTAAGACCAAAATATTAAAAAGATTTGATTAGCTAATTATTATTAAGGTAATCAATGTTGATCTACCAAGTCAGGCTTAAATGGAAAAACCATGGAAAATAAAGTGGAGATTATGAACTTATTGTTCACTGTCTGAAAACATGAGGAAGATTTGAACTCACATTCACTCTAGGGGGCCATGGGAAAGTTTATTATAAATACCCCAGTATTAGGTTGCTTTAAAATCTATTTTTATTTTGTTATTACTTATCCCTCATGGATTGTTTATTCCTCTTCAGATATTGATGGGTTCCAGATACTGCTTCTCATATTTACTCAGTGACTCCAATAGGGAAATTCAGCACCTTCTATGTCCAGAAATGCACAAGAAGAAGAAACATTTATTGAGAAGGTGTTTGTGTTTGGTGCAGTGATAAAGATTATCATATTTCATTTTTCATTTAAGCCTCAGTGCGACCCTATCAGATAGAGACTACAGTCATTCCACTTTCACAAATAAGGAGATTGAGGCTAAGAAAGGTTAAGTAATTTGATCATGGCATGTAGCTAGGAAAAGGCAAAATCTGGATTCACACTCAGGTGATCAGAAGCCAGAGACTCAACTCCAACTTCCAAAAGGGAGAAAAAAGTTTGAAAGTCA